TGGACCGGCCAGATTCGAGATGTATGAGTACAGAAGCCAAATTATGACTTTTCGCTACATCGCTGTGTCGGTCACAACAGACTTAAAGACTTAAAGAGAATCAACCCTAAATGTTCACGACTATAAAAAGATATAAGGTGAAAAAACCTTATTTTACAAACATTATGTAACACTATAAGTAATTCTGAATTACTGGGCATAACTACAGGATAAAGTGTGGAAGTGAAGATGCTGAGATACACCAGCTGAATTATTTGAGCCGTTGAGTAATTGAGGCAAGTGCAACTGCAAATGCTTGCACAGCTGTAAATGGTGCCCTAAAATCTAGCGTGTAGGCTCCATTTTCAATCCTCCCGAACTGCATAACTTGTTTGTCACCGTATTCAATTTGAAAATTCTTGGCAGACTCCTGCGTTACTCTGCCACCAAAATCTAACTGTAAAGTACAATATTTAAAAGTATGATTAGGTAGTTTAGAAGAAATGAAAAGAAAAAGTCAGATGTAATGAGTATATATTTCTTGAATGACTGCAAATTAGATTAAGAGATGGAATTAAGAATATATTTTTTACAATTAACTGTGAACAAAAAAGAATCTGAGACACCTAAGTTACCTGATAAACTTGGTTAGTTTCATTCCAAAAAGGAGTTTTGTTTTGTAAGACTAGATATGGCCTTTCTTCAGTCGAAACTAACTGTTCACCAAGAAATGCTTTGATATGTTGAACTCGTTGCTGTAAATCGCCACACACTTCGTCCAATAACTCATCACCTAAAAAGTTTACGAGAATTAATCAAATAAACACTAATAGAAGCCAACAAAAACCAGTCAAAACGATCATATGGTAAGACTGAGAAATGATGGAAGCAAGAGATCCTTACCGTAATTAATTTTCTTTTCAATTTGGGAAACTTTCTTCGCTATGTCGCGCAAATGTGACCGAAGTGATGCCACAGAGATATTTTCATCCTTGTTAGAATTCTGAAGTAAAAAGATTTAAAAATAAGCGGTTGAAAAAATCGTTACAAATAATTCTACAACAGACGCATTAAAAACGACATATTCCAAATAAAATTACTCGATTCCCAGCCATTCTGAAGCACTGGACAGATTGAGGGGAATCATTTGAAACTTGACAATCGGATTTGTTTCCCGATCGCCGAAGACTGGCATCATTTGTAAGTTTAGAAAGCTTATCTAGTGTTGAAGATATATCGCTTAACTGTCGAAGACCTCAAAATAAAATTTATGTAAGAAGGCTAAGTTGGAAGAAGCAGTTATGACGAAATAAAGAAGACCTTTTTTACACGGATCATTGAACGACTTTGGAACATTTAGCAGCGGGATCTTGTCGTCGCTTGTTATAGCAATCCCAGCATCATCTTCATCAATATACTGAAACCAATCAATTAAAGGAAATAAGATGTGCAATACTTCGATTTCAAAAAACTTAGATGGACCCACAATAGTGAGCCCAATTCACCATGAATAAAATATATGGAGCAGAGAGAACTTACTTCGATATCATCGAACTGATTGTGCCAGTTTGCATTAGAAGTTGATGGTTCGATCGCAATTTCTGTTCGCTGAATTTTACATACTGTACAGGGTTGCACATCTTTCGGTGCTGCAGAAACTTTTGGAGCTTTTCCAACACCGGGAGCACCGGTCAACTCATTATTCAGGGGTTCAAATCTACATGAAGACTTTTCAAGATCATGAGCAAAACCTTTCATCTTTGATATGTGCCTTTCGACAGCCAACCGAAGGTCTTCAAATTCCCGTATAATATTCTGCAAAAACCTTATCAAAATAAACGAGATTTCAAGTTAGAAAGTTGTTGAACTAACGCTGCAAAAATTAGAAAAATAAAAGTCCCTTAATTAGAAATAAAGTGTTTATCTACCTGGTACTGTTGCCTTTCCTCCGCGGATAACAATTCTTCCGAATCTTCATCATCGTTCCACCTTCTGTCATCCAAAAGGCGCCTTCCGTACTGCTGGAGATTCCCAAATAACCCGCGTACATCTCTATATAATAATTTCTTAAGATAATCACGCTTAGAATCATAGCTAATAGCATGCAGTGAAACCTAAAAATCAAAATAAAATCTAATGAAAAACTAGAAACCTCTCCGATGGAGCCACTAAAGCTTGTGAAACCCTATCCTCTGCAGCAGCTGTCTCGTTTTCACCATAAACTCTGCAAATATTTACGCGCTGAGGTGGGGCTGTCGGGTTTTTGTTGCCCAGATCTGCTAAATGTACTGTCATTTGCCGCGGCTGCATATGTAATACAGAAGTTTTATATATGACCTGAAGAAGTGGTGATAAAAGTTTATATAACCCGGTTAACCAAGCTAGAAAAAAAGCACAAAGATTTTTCAAAGAAAGATATAAAGTCAAAAATGTATGTGTAATCGCATATTACGTCAAACCTGAGCTAAAAATGGTGGAAGGAGATTCGTAGCAAGCGAAGTCATTTTAAAACGAGTACACCAAACATTTGAGGTTACCTAAAGACAATAAGCCAATAAATGAAAGGAAGCGAAGAAGTTTTGCAAAAATAACTGTTAATGGGAAACTTAAAGAAGAAACAACCAAAAACAGTTCTAACCTGCAACAGTTTTGCATCCAACCGACTCTGTGGATGTCGAAATGCGACACGCCGATGCATGAAAGCACGAATCTGACGTTTACTTTTCCTCCAAACAGAACTTCGATTCGCAGATGGACGAGCAAAAGCACCGACGTCCTCTAAAAAAGCAGAAAATAGGGCCCCAAAAAAAACTGATTCCTTTCCCTCTACTGGAAAAAATGTTGTCTTCTCTAACTAGTGCAAAAAATCACTTTCTAAGATAAAGTTTTAACAAAACTTTCACAAAAAACGCTACTAATTATTTCAAAAAGTAAAACGAACTATTATCTTAGTCATACTTAAGATTCACAATAGGTGCCCCAGTTGTCCCTTTGATTTCTAAGACATTAAACGTCAACCTACCAACTTGCGCAGAAGAACCAGCTTCTTGCGAGCAACCTGCACTGGTGGAAGCATCTGGTGACGTATAAAGCGATATTTGGAACTGAGGTATTATTCGATTCGTTTGTCGACCGATAAGTACTGGAACAAGACCCCCCATATGTTCCATACACAAAACATAGGTATGTGCTTTATTGGGAACAGGTTTAATTGTGCAGTACCACCTCCATTCAGAAGGTGTACACACTTTTCCAATCAATTCATAGCGAGACGGCACACGACACTACAAGAAATATAGCCCATAATCACGAAAAGTTGAGGAATTTATAAACAAAGAAAACTTGCAACTCATTAAAAAAACCTTCTTCAAGGCACTCTCCTTGAAAACCCTTAAAAAGGAACAAATAAACTATTTTATGAGAAAGAAAAAATGACCAAGAACTTTTTTTCAGTCTTTAAAAATTACAATTATTTTCACAGCTAGCTATTAAACACCTTCATAGAAGTATTTAATTCCATGAAAGCAAAATCTCTAAAAACCTTTATAATATGGTGGTTAAATTCCTTTATCGCATTACGTTCGCGGACTGGTACTGGGAGGTTATCAATAGCACGAGTAGATGACTTTACCATTAACCACAGGTTATATGTAACAAGGCTAAAAAGAGATGGAACTCCTACGACTACATGTCCCACTGCCAAACAACCACCTATAAAAACAAACACCTCTTAATAAAAGTAGCTTAATAAGTCACGAAATATTAAGTTATAGCAAAAATCCGAGAAAATGAAAAATTCAGTCCACTACCTTTACAAACCCTGTTCTTAAAATATGACAT